GGGTTTTTGTAGGGGATGGCTCCATGTGGCCAGGAGCACCTGAGGACCTGCCCCCCAGTCCTGGATCTGGATACTTCTCATGTCAGAGATCTCCCCAGCATCCCTCCTCGGTAGCCTGCCCATGCCCACACATTTCTGGGGACCCAGGACTGCAGGACATTGAAAGCGTGAGGAGGTGGAAAGTGGAGATTGAAATGAACAGGGAGGCACCCCAGATACTGGTGAGCCCAGAGTGGAGCACTCCTGATGCCCTGTTAGGCCAGTACCCCGTTAGAGTTCTCTCAGGACCCCAGGGCTGCCTCCATAACCCCAACCACAATTGTAATTAATTATGCACAGTCATTTAACACCTCCCTCCCAGAGGGCAGGGATCTGTGCATCTGTACACTGTATCCCCTGTGCTTGCGCCAGTAGGCGTATAAGTATTTGTTGGATGAGTGAATGAATGACATTGTCCTCCCATTCCAGACACCAGAGAGCCACTGCAAGGACTAAAGCTTTGCTTTAGTCTGAGGCTAAATCTGAGCCTCCTTCCAGATTCTCTAAGTACTCAGTTCCTAAGTGAACAGCACCTAGCAGAGTGGCCCCAGGGTGTCTGTGTGATCATCTGTGATCATCTCCAGGGGGCCCGGAGCCCTGTGGGCTTGCCCACTCTGATCAATGCAGCATGGCCTTCAGAGAACTCTTCCTTAAACAAGCTCCATCTCCTACACAGATATCGGCTCTGTGCCATGTCTTCAGGTCCTCATGGTCTTGCTCCTGACCTCCTCCAAGGTCCCCTGTTCCTAAAGTCAAATCTGATGTCATCTCTTCTTTCTTCTTTCAGCACATTTCTCCCTGCCCTCAGAACCTTCCTCCTCACAATCAGACGCTTGCCCAGCCCCTTTCCATCTATGTGCCTCTTCTGTGCTCTCCCTTCCCTGCCTGGAATGCCCTTGGCTCTGTTCTCAGCCTCTAGAAGCCTTCGGGAACCTGCTCTTCCAGGCAGCCATCCTGATTGCTCTCAGTCTGGGAAAACCTGGTCCCAGCCATGGTCGGTGTCATTTTAGAGAATAATGTCTCTCCACTTTGGCCATCAGGACCTGAGAGAAATGACTGTTTTGGACACTTCTCCTTTTGGATTCCTGTGACCCAGAATTAGCCCACAATAGGCTGAATAAATGACTGTTAGTTTTATATGAGGAACTTGCACAGAAATCAAGGAATTTGATTTGCCTGCTGGATCAAGACATCCTATGCTGCAGAGCTACAAAGACTTTCGGAGGCTTTATATAAATTATGAAAAATATGAGACTAACTGTAGGAACTCCAATTTTAAGTTCAAGAAAACATGAATTCTAATAAGGAGAATGTGGGGTGCTATGGGCCGAATTGCATTCCATCACAATTCCTGTGTTGAAGCCCTAACCCCAACGCGACTATATTTGGAGACAAGGTCATTAGTAGATAATTAAGGTTAAATGAGGTCATAAGGGTGGGGCCTGATCCAACAGGACTGGTGTCCTTGTAAGTAGGAGAGACTAGAGTTTTCCTTTCACCATGTGAGGACACAGAGAGAAGGTGGCGTCCACAAGCCATGAAGATGGCCCTCACCGGAAACTGAATTGACAGCACATGGATCTTGTACCTCCCAGTCTCCAGAACTATGAGAGATAAATGTGTGTTGTTGAGTCTGCCCAATCTGTGATATTTTGTAATGGCAGGCTGAGTTTACTAATACATGAGGTGTCACTAACCCTCTTCTGAGATATATGGGAAGTCAGTTCCATTTTTCCTAACATATGGGCAGTCTAAACATCTAGGGTCTTGAGGAGGACTGATAATAATAGCAAAAACAACAGGTATTCTTTACTGAGTGTTCAAAATGGACATAACACTCTGCTAAGGGCTTCCCTGCATTAGCTCATTTAGTCCTCACACCAAGCCAATAAGCTTTCTTATCCCGCTTACAGATGAAGAAACAGGCTCAGACAGGTTAAGTAACTTGTACAAGGTCAATGCGCTGTGGCCAAGCTGGATCCACAAACAAGTTCGTCTGCATGGGACCAGCACTTACTGGCAAGCCCAGGAGGCCCACCACCCACTCACCATGCAGAGTACACCAAGTGGCCTCTCGCCCTGGCCCAGTTGCATTCTAGGACCCTCTTTCCTTCCTGGGGCCCTGACTCATGCTCTCTAATTCTTCCCCATCTGCCTAGAATACACTGACGAGACTGATTCTCTTAGCATATGGTCCCATCCCTGTGCTGCCGTGTCCCCATCATCTCCCAATGATAGCCATCGCTACCTAACTTCTCTCCTGTTTTCACTCCATGCCCCCTGCAATCCAGCTCTAGGCTAATCTCTTACAAACAAATCAAATCACATCACACTCCTGGTGTCTCATTAAAGTTAGAATCAAATCTCAACTAACCTTGACTTATGAAGCTCTGTGTGATCAGCTCTGCCCACCTCTCATTCCCTCTGCCCCAGATGCCTTCACTAGTTCCTTGAATATGCCCAGCTGGTTTCTGCCTTAGGGCCCTTGTATTTGCTGTTCTCTCTGCCTGGAACACTTTTCCGCCCAGATCTTCTGGGGGCAGCTTCTTGCTTGTGTTCGGGTCTCAACTCAGAGAGGCCTTCCCAGTCATACTATACCACATCCCTCTGTTTTAATTTATTCACTACAGAGTCTTCAGACTATTAGATATTATTTTATGTTTGTTTATTTACTGTCTCTCTTCTCCTCCCTTTAGAAAATAATCTCCAAGAGAGCAATGATTTTATCTATCTTGTTCACGGTATCACCAGCATCTAGAACAGGGCCTGTAAACAGTGGAACCTCTACTATAGAAAGAGAAGAGAAGAGAAGAGAAGAGAAGAGAAGAGAAGAGAAGAGAAGAGAAGAGAAGAGAAAGAAAGATGACACAATCTTCTCAAGGATGGATGAAGAGAATCACCCAAATGCCCATCATTCAGCTGTGGCCCTAACTAGCATATTCTCCCACTTTTATCCAGAAACAAGTACCCTCAGAAGCCCAAAGTGTTCCTTGCCTTGCCACCCAAACCAGGACCAAGTTCTCTGCTGCAAAATAAGAACAATTTCAAATGGAAATGTCGTCCGGACTAGCCCAGTGCTCCTGGGTACCATGGGGGTGGCAAGAATGTCTGGAAGAGCATTTTCTCCCAACCCCACA